GGCAGAGTGTTAGATGTTGGCGAAAATAAAGACGTAAACGTCTCTGTTAGCCATATGCATTTATTTAAATCACCTTCTCTTTCTTGTAATCTTTGGCAAACTCAGGGATCTGTGGGATTCAACGACTGTTCATCACTAACAAACATCAGACATTTTTACGATCAACATGGAATAAGGCCTCTCTAAAAGTGCAAATCTTTTTCCTTAGAACGAGACAGCTGAAGTCTCTATACGCTGTGTTTCCACATTTTCCGCACATTTTTCTTGGATTCCGCTCAAGCTTAAACAAATTCAACCAACTCTGCATTATCTACAATCAATAACTGATGAAGTGACAATATTTTTGGGATTTCGTTCGCTACAAATATCACATTTAAAAAGGCAAAAATGGATGCAAAAGCAGAAGATTGTTGCGAAATATCAATTCATGGCAATGAGATTACACAGAATGGTATTTGTTTGACAGAATAGAGTGAATGCCGTTCGATCAACATAAGATAATGGTTTGCTTCCGCATCGACCCATCACTGCGGAGGCGAGATGTTCTTACCACAACCATTTAAGCCTTATTATTCCATCTTCAACGTGGAAGCGCTCTAGTACAATTATCTTAGGATTCCGGGAAGAATCGACTAGATCAATATCCAACTATATTTGTTATCGCGATGAAAAGTATTGATTAGCAAGTGAGTTACTACACAAATCCGAAGACCTTTATGGATGAATGGATATTGGAAGATGAATAGAAAGAGAAATGAGTCGAGTTTCACACATTGTACGATGCGAAGTCGTGTTAAAAATTTAGGAGAGCCAGAATATATATATATATATATATATGTATGTATAAATAAATAAATAAATAAATAAATAAATATATATATATATACTGCCGTTCATATATATATAAACGATGTGCATGCATATTCGCCATGTGGTTAGACAGAAATTTTTGCACTCTTTCGGATCCACGATCTCTATAACATCACCGTTATCCTTTTCAGTGGGTCCAGGACAATGCTTCCATTTATACATGACTTCTCCTCGTGAAGAACACTTTAAGATTGTGTAGTGAACTCGAAAATTGTTTTTCTACAACGGATAGAATTGTGGAACAGTGAAGTAGAATGACTGTGAATGTACATATTAGAACAATTTTGAAAGTAATATAAATAGTTTATACAGAGTTTATGAATTTATGAATAAGTCAGGAAAAAGACGGTTAATAACGCTTTGTAAAATCTCATAATCAAAATCATCGAATTATCATTCTGTGCTGAAAAACTACGGTAATGTTTATCGCGAAACTTTTGTAAAATTAAATGATAACCTCACATAAACGTCTGCTTAGTCATATAAAGACACAGTGAGAGGCACTGTATGTTATAAAAGAGACTGTAATAATCAAGTATCACTTGTCTTTATGAATACCCTGCAGTTGTGTCAAAGCACAGAAATCAATGCCATCCTCATCTATGTTTGTGTGTGCTAACATTAGACTAAGACGAGTAGGCATTTGCCGTCGTTGTACTCGGAAAACGCTCTCCAAGCAGTACATCTGCCCATCGGAGTGAACACCATTACGAATGTACCTCTGGAAAAAGTTTGGATGACTGTGCAGATGGTTGTCAGGCATATTAAAGACATTTTTCCACGTGAGGACATCTCCGAGGTCAGATAAAGTGACATTCAGTGCGCAGGATAGAAGACTACTCACGAGAGAATTTTTCATAAAAGATCGAACGACCTGACGAGAAATAGATGAGATTCGAAGAATCACCAGTAAGACCTCCTACCAGTTATACGATAATGCGATAGGCCTTTGAACCTCCGCTGAGTTGGTACAAATAATCCGCCTATTGTAGTACTTGAATGCCGACGATTCAGTTAGGAAAACATGTTCATACTGGACTAGGGTTACTCAAGTACGACAAGAATTGCCCTTTGCAATGTCTGGATAGGCAAAGAACGAATGCTCTGAATGGTTTATCCTTTGTTCGACATACGATGCTCAGTCGGTTTTGCTGGTCATATCGTTGAACGTAGGTGAAATCAAAGAAACATTTCCTGTGGAGTGATGCTGGAGAGATTCATACTTCCTAAATCCTGGGAATATAACTTGAGGGAATACTGGCGCCAGGGTACTTAAGCGAGACATCGAAACTTGTTAGTTCATAGAGAATAACTGATTTCCGTTGCGTTTGTATTGAAAATGTCACTATTTCTTCAAATCTTCTCGGATTATTGGTTACTTTCATTCTGCTCGATCATTTGATGCCGAATAGGCTAATATTAGCATGTCGGTAAATAAACAAAACGCAAAACAAACACTGCTGATCGCTTTGATGACCCCGGTTTCACTAATGAACACCACGATTCCACCAAATGCCGACAGTATCGTATAAGAATGCAACGTGATCAGGAAACTAATTGGATCACAGAAGAAAAGCTTGGGGGAAAATGTCAGGCAAACGGACAACAATTTATCACAGGTGATCCAATTCACAAAAGTAATGAGCCTCGGGGATGGAGCTAGCCGAAGGAAAAGGTTGGTCCAATGCAACTACTAAAAAATAAGGAACAAGCTAATTTGGCGGAGGAGCGGAGGCATTTTTGGAAACATAAACGCCAAGAAAAGTCACGTAACGTTAGACCCCAGCCAAGCAACAGGATTTCATTATTAGTAAATTGCGTAGTATTGATAGAATACTGCACAAATTATAGTACCAAATTCATTAACCTTTTCAACGCATTCGAGAGTGCGGCAGCAAACTGTGCATTTCAAGAGTAGTAGGTTATGAAGCTTCCTTTATAACGTTATGTATACTTACTCGATATCTCTTCGAAAAAGATATAGATAGGAAGGGCAAGCGAAAGAAGCGTTTTGCCTAGTTGAAGATTCATGAAAACTCTTGACAAAAAAGATCATTGGCCTGTGACTCTATGAACAAGTCACTCTCGTCTATTTATAAAAGAAACCAGATTAGACAACATTTAATTTCATTGTTCCAAATGATTATAACAACGTGCATGCAATTTTGCACCGTTAACGCAGAATAAATGATAGTATTATTTGAATTAGATGAATAATATTACGTGGAAAATTGCCGGTCTTGTGTTTTTTCACTTGACGGCGTTTGTGTAAATCGTTCGCCCTCGTCTACCTTTTGAAGGAGAGTAGAAGCCCCAGAGAGGATTGGCTTAAGACAAAGGGCCTACCCGACTGACGAGACTGCAAGGCCTAAACGCGTGTTTTGGGCAGTTCAAAAGCCCATTATAAGACCACATGAAATGTTGCCTCAAATAATGATTGTGAGAGATAAACGATAGTAGATATCATTCATGTCCATGAAACAATAAGGCAAAATCTTCTGTACGATACTATCTCGTTCGAGACTTCACGACTGTTTTAATTATCAAAAAATTCTTGTTTATTCCCAAAAAATCAGATTAGCCGGTATTGGAAAGACTGCTCCTACTTAATGGGGCCCATAGAGGCGCTGTCTCGAATATAATAGCATTTTGAGAGCAAAAGCTCTGTGATTATGAACTCATTATTGCACTAATAAAACTAACAGATGAAAAACTATTGATTATTGCAACGTCTTAATAAATCCAAGAGTGTCATGGCTTAAGTGAAATTTCGCTCAGCAAACAATATCAAAGTTCATAGAAAATAGTTCATGTGACTGTTAAATTTTAGCGAAAGAGGAAGCCATTGAGAAACAAACTGGCCTCTTATCTTATAGGAGAAATATGGTAGAAATGACATAGAAAATTCAGTGAAAGTCGTTCTTAATTGCAAGAGCGTGCAGAGTGGAACAGAATTAAACAAACAAAATGTCAAGAATCCGTTCGATGAATGTGAAAGTGAAGCTATAGCTGATGAGGGTCTGACGAACATCAGAAACGCACTATTTCATGAGTGAGAGACTAAAATCCTCGTACTCATGAAGGTAAGCTACTCTAATGACTAGCACAGAAAGCTTGAACATAGAAGATTTCAGTCAGTGAACTTGTGTATTGGAATGCACAAGAGGTACTGTAGTGACAAATTTGACTAGGGTCTAAGTCTAGGCAGAATCGGTAAGATTTTCGTAGGATGCACTTATACGGAGATAAATAAATGGAAGTGAACTTTGACTGGACACATAAGTCATTCATACGGACTGATGATTTCGGAGTTTGCGGAGGAGCTACTGTTGATTGAGAACAGCTTCTTATAGGACTGAAATTTTATGTCTCAAAAAAAGGCGATCAAAAGGTGTTCGAGGCAAAATCTTTCATCAGTATCTGTAACTGATGGTGTCCATGGACAAAATTATATAATAGAGAACAGCAAAAAAAAATTTTAAAAAATTGTTCTATAAGTGAATTTATCTTCGCAGAACAGCCGGGCTTGAGTTGAAATCTGAAAAAAAAATAGCAATATCAATCAAGCAAATTTGAAAGAAGACGAAGCAGCAAAGTAGACAGGAAGCTTCTCAGCGCAATTAATTAGGACTCACGGGCATTGCTGATATTACTTTTGATGAAAAATCGAGTGCTTCTAAACAATTAAGGCCAGCATACTCAGCTGAGCCAACAAATCCTTCATATTACTTTGTTACGTCGAAGAGCAGGATTATCAGATCCATGGATAGTCGGTAGATCATGGAAAATGACAAAATCCTGAGACTGATTTGGAATAACTCCAGATGATTGATGATCGCTAGATAGATTCCAGTCGGACAGTTGGACGACAGTTAAGAGGACAGATGGTGTACACCACCGGCGATGGATAATGTTTGGTCGGAGTGTCGGCGCTGAGGATCAATAGTTAGCTGGGCGCCAGCAAATGAGTGTTCAAGGCCGAGTCAGGACAGAACCACTTCCACACCATCACGACCACCATCAGCGCCACCAACGTGGCGATCGACGATGACGACACCCGACAACTGACGACACCTTCACAGTTTATTCCAGATGTATTCCTAAGAGAACTGAGCTGTGGGCAAAAACACAGCCTCAGGCGGGAATCGAACCTACGTTTCATCCTACCCTTCGGGGACGCGCGCTCCAACACTACACAATCGAGGCACATTTGCGCAAACACTCATTCTCCAATATCTCAATGCTAGCTATCAGCCACCAAACTTTAACAGGTTTGATCGGGTAAGTGATTTCGCTTCATAAACCCAATTGGGTTGACAGCCACTGTTTGATCTATTACTCCGAAATTCTAGCACTTTTGCTGCTTTTTTCGCAGTGTTATGATGTTACAAATAAACCTAAGAGAATTCCATGAATTTGATATAATCCGATGTTTTCACCCATCACTCAATTATCTTAGGAATATATGTAACATTACAACACTGCGAAGAAAGCAATAAAAATACTAGAATTCCGGATGTATTCGTTGATGAATTGTCCATTGTGCCTCTTAACATCAGTACGGAGATGGGACTCCGAGATACGATCGCTTTCCTCCAAAGGTATTTACACCTGTCAAGCTTTACTCGAGATTCCTTCTCCAAAACAAAACTATTTACTACAAGCGCATATCCTGTGGCAGAAACTCCATCTTTTACAATCCAACCTAATCGATGCTCGGTTGATAAAAAAAAAATCACTTAACAAAGTCTGATACGAAGTAAGAACAGCGATAGCAGCAATATATATGACTATTGGAAAAAAACAGTTGTGAAAAGTCTGTACATCTAGTTTTGAACGACGCGAATGAAGCGACGCAAACGAAACATCTCATTTCTCGGGCACCATTAAAAGCTTTCTACTAGCACTGAAATGCTAAGATTTCTAGCCACGAAACAAGATTGCGATCTAACGTGGTCGGTTTTTTCACGCAAGGCTCGGTCGAGATGGTGGAAGATGTGATGTCTAATTCAGTACAGTAAACGTTGTTGAGAATGTACGCTTCAACCGCTGTCTTCAGATGGTCATAACATCAGTGAAGAATGAACTGCATCAATCCTCTTCATCAACACGGTTCTCACCTCTGCTGCATGATTTTTTCCAGCAACGTTGTTTCATATGGTAACCATATTGTCACAAAATTGATCTCTGGAATAGCTTCGTTGCTTTACATTCGAATTTGAACTCACACAAACATTGAATCAAATTTGCCTCCTTTCATTCATCTTCAACGGACTAAGATGAAATATGCTACTATAAAAAATAGTGTAAAGCGAAATCTACGCCTTGATTTAGAGGTCACCATTTTCTGTGGACTGAAGGAAATGAACAAACTCCACAGAGATCTGGAAGCATTTTGTCGATCCCGGAGAGAAGAAAATCTTGGTTGAATCAAAGCGCCGGATTAAACCATAAACCTATTCAGTGCATAGTGCACAACAGTGTGACAAATGCGCTACACGTACTCTGACGCGTATTAACCCCTGAGGGACGACGTGTACCAGCTCAGGTACACGACTGCTTAAAGGCTTTTTTTGCTGCAGAAAAGTTTTCCCTTAGACATTCAGCAATCTTTCGGAAGTATAAATCTCTGCGATTCCAATACCTATTTATCTTCAGAAGAAGATTTTTATTACGTTGTAACAGTAAAAATAAAATTAAATTTCACACTCAACTTTCTTCATTTAGATCTACTGGAGCAGCTACATAGCTCTTCACTAAAGTTTATTTAATACGCATTAGATCACCTGAATTTCGAGGATTCTGACAATGGAATTGATTTTTTAAAAGGTTGCCATATAACGCCGCAGGAGGGAAAAGAAGATCACATTTCACGCCTGAAATGCTAATCCGCTGCTCGGACGTCATGGGTGATTTACTGGTAATTATAGGTAGTGTTCACAACACTGAGGTGTCTTGTTGTTACGGAAAGAATGGAATTCTCGAATAAACCTTCTACGAAGATTTTTTGATAATAAGAGTGACTACTCCTTTGGAAATCCTTCATTTTTCAGCGGTAATACCACATCCTTATAGAGAAATAAACTTTCAACCCCTATTGAGCATTTGTATCGCCTGTCTTTCGAGAACGTAGCTTAAAAGCACATCTTTTACAAATAAACTTCTCTAATAGAGATCTATGTGGAGGTAAATCTCATATGTAGTCCGATTAAGTGAAGAAACAGCGCGCGTTCATCACTGCGCATAATGCGTCACTTCCCTATCAGCACCCACATCCGAAAAACGTATTTCCGCTCTTCATAGACATTTTGGTAGTTATTCGATAGCACAAATCTCGAAAAATTGAAAAATGTACTTTATTTTTTGAAAAGCCTCTGTATTGCACTTTAACAGGGAAAAAATATGTTATTTAACACTTAATTATCTTTCGATGAGCAACGCTTTTCCTCAAAAAAAAAACAGCAGATCTTCGACAACACAAATCTCGAGAAAATCAACTTAAAAATTCCAAGGATATGCTTAGTTTTTGTGGGGACTTCTTAGTTCTTCGTTACAGCTAAAAGAACATTGAGCTTCACACTGGACGCGCACCAGACGCCACATGTAAATTGCGCTGCGCGACCGACACGGCACCGAGTGCGAAACTCATTGATCTTTTAGCTGTAACAACACATTAAGACTTCCTTCTCAAAAACCAAGCTTATCATTGAGATTTGTGCTATCGAATGGTTATTGGAAATATGAATGGAAATCTCTGTCCAGCGAAAGATGCTTGATTGTGAAAGATAAATAGGTACGTGTATGTCAAGCTCTGACAAATTTCTAAGCCACTCTCATTCGCTAAGCAGGCAATTTTCATGAAAGTACTTGTAGTTATTCGAAGGCTTAGATCTCTGCCGACAACTTACATGTCATACCTTTCCTTCGAGTGCTTTATTAAGATCACGCTCAAATTTCAATAAATTTTTTCATTATTATTTGAGCCAACATGTCATGTGGTCTGGTAAGGGCTCTTGTACAGCCCGATACACGTGTTTCGTCTACTCTGTGTTAGGTGAAAATTTCGTTTGACATAGAGTGCAAAACGTACGTCTTCGATAACTCTATGTAAGGGAGCAGAGCTCCCGAGAGAACTGACTTCAAAAATATCGAAAGACGACGGGTTCTGCCAGACTGACGAGTCTGTAAAGACGAAACACGTGTATCGGGCTGCACAAGAGCCCTTACCAGACCATATGACATGGTGGCTCAAATAATAATGAAAGAACTTACATGTCGCCGATTTTTAGAACACCCTTTCAAAACTCTCGCATTCCGCCTTTATATCTACCACGAGTATAAATTGGTAGAAACACGAAAAACATGTCAGAGTGTAGAGAATTTTCCGTTGTGTCAAAATCACGCGTTTTTTTCCTTGAAGTTGATGCCGATGCGGTAAAAAAATCCTCAATAAAATGACAATAGTTGCCGCCGTTCTAACGCATAATGCGGTAGATCGCCGTCGAGTTACGCTGCAGATCAGGCGATGATCTTACTAACAAGTTATGCTGTGAGTTGCCCTCACATTTTGCTCAGCTTTGAACCTTTTCGGCGACTTTGCTTACCGGCCAACTCACGGAGCGCGGGAACGGGGCCAGGGCAAAACGACCGATCGCGTTTGAAATATTGTTATTCAATTTGGGACTTTCTACGACATCAACAGCACCTTCAGATAAAAATGTAGATTTTAATGCTACGGAAAAATGTCTACACGCTGATAAGCTCTTCGTTCTATCAGCGATTTATACGCGTGGTAAAAATAAAGGCGAAAGGCGAATGAGAAACGTAATTTTATTCTATATGTTACAGCGATATAAAAGGATGGTCAGAAAAACCAACAACGCACAGATGTAGCCAGAGATTCGAGCTTTCTAATAATTACTAACACTTCTAAACAAATAGATCATATCTTTCGTTCCGCGTGTTTTCTTATGCCACAAAATTTTTTTTTATGAGCCACGCATGTCGTGTGGTGTGTTAATAAAAGGGCTGGCTTATAGAACGCGATACACGTGTTTCCACCTTGCAGTCTCGTCAGTCGGGCAGTTACCCTTTCTCGTCTTTTGCTAATCTCTGTAAGTGCCCCTTCCCCACACTAAAAGTTAGCGACGACGAACGTTTTACACTCTGTGTCCAGTAAAATTATCACCGAACACAGAGCGTTGTACACTCGATTGCTCTTGGCTAGTATGTTTAATATGTCATATTTTTCGTTTCGAGTGTTTTCTTGAGACCACAGCTCAAATTTCATTTCTTTTTGATTTTGTGGCATCTTGAAATTTGAGCTGTGTTCTTAAGAAAACACTCGAAACGAAAGATATGATATATTGAATATACTAACCACGAGCAATTGAGTGTACAACACGCTGTGTTCGGTGATAATTTTGCTGGACACAGAGTGTAAAACGTTCGTCGTCGCTAACTTTTAGTGTGGGGAAGGGGCACTTACAGAGATTAGCAAAAGACGAGAAAGGGTAACTGCACGACTGATGAGACTGCAAGGTCGAAGCACGTGTATCGGGCTTTATAAGTCAGCCCTTCTACTAACAAACCACACGACATGCGTGGCCCAAAAATGATTTTGTGGCATATTGAAACTTCTAAGATCCTGACCAGGGAATGAGATCAGCTCAAAAATTTATCGCCGTCTAATTTATAAGTACCGAAGGTTTCACTTTACCTTCACAGCACAATATAGAAGAAATTTGAAAAATAAAACACACTCTTCAGATTCTCGATATCCATGTTGTCGAATAATCACTAAATCCTCGAAAAGGAATAAAAAACACTTTATTTGAATTTGGGTGCGGATGGGAGAGAGGCACCGAGAATACCTTTCAGGAGACACATATTTCTGACCAATGCTTTGAATAATGCCGATGTTCTAAGCCTTTCATTCAAGCACAGCTGCACCTTACCGCTCAGAATCCTTCCACTATCCATTAGCACCCAACCTATTTCGCTCGCCTCAGCTCTAAATAATTGGTCAAGAGATTGAGTGGTGAACAAAAACACGGCCTCAGGCGGGAATAGAACCCACGTTTCATCTTATCCGGGGACGCGTGCTCTACCACTACACCACTGAGGCACATTTGCCCGACCACTCATTCTTCAACATCTCAATGTTAGCTATCAGCCATCAACCTTTGACAGATTTGGTCGGGTAT